CTTCTATCTAAAACTTTTTTTTACTAAATAAATCACTCTTGAGTAGTGATTAAACCTATTTAAAAAAATACCAACTGGGTTACCTGTGGGTAGATTATCCAGATCATCTGGGAGTAAAAAATTTTTATTAAGAGTCACCTGTAGGTAGATCACTTGAATCACCCAGGTGGTAAAAGATTTTTAATACATCTGAATAGTAAAAGGATTTTATTATAGACCACCCATGATGATTTATTGTGATCATTAAAAATAGCAAAAAAATTTTTTAAGCATATTATAATATAGAATTAATACTAAACTACTGCAGAAAAGTGACAAAGTGAATACTACAATACTCTTGTTGTATATTTACAAACTTGCTATTAATGAAGTTTATATATATAAAATACCAAGAAGTGAGCATATAACAAAAAGCAGGTTTGGTATCTTGGGTCAAGCTTTTTTCTATAAACTATTGTTGACAAAGTTCTTAAATATAATATACTGAGATATAGGTATTATAAACAGTTTGCACAAAGATTAAGCCTTATTTTTTGTTTTCTTCAGATAGATTTACTTGTGCTTTTGGTATTCAAACTAGAAAAATCTCTAGAAATAGCAAGAAGAAAAGAGATGGACTCTTCCATATCTTCAATATCCAAACCAAAAGGATATTTTGGAACAACATTACTGTTAGATTTCTGTACAAGAATATCAAGTAGAAACAGAGAAACTAAACTATATTACTATAATTCTTACAAAAAAAACCTCATATACCTTCATTGGCCCATCACTTTTTTTAAAACAATTTTTATAAAAAGTGGACATTTCAGTTTACTCTTTTCAAAAGATCAATATCACAGACCTTTTCAAAGTGAATTTACTAGTATATTTGAAGATGCAAATTTTTGTATTGTAATCGTATTATATTAATTATGCATGTATACTAAATTAGAAGTAAAGTAAAAAATATGTTATGTAACAAAATTAATTTAGAATAGATTTATATAACAAGATTAATTTGGAATAACTAAAAATAGTGAGGCTGATGTGGCTAATAAAATAAAATTTTTGATAAATTTGTTGGTAATTAAGTATTAACAGAAAAGTAATTAATCTTTTATAACAAAGTTAAAAGTGATATAGTAATAGAAGAGACTTTCTAAATATACAATATTTTATTAATTTGAGACTAATAGCTAGATTATTGTAGATCTCTGTAATAATTCATGTAATCTATTTAAATAATATAATGCATAATTATTCAATAAAGACCAAGACCAGGCCTTACTTTTTTTTTAAAAAAAAAAAAAAACTAATAGCTAAATTAATTCTTTAATAGTCAAGAGTTTTTTAACTTTAAAATGTATAGTTGACAAAAAATAACTATAATAAAAATGTAATATATATATATATTTTTAAACAAAAAATTTTTTTATAATTATAGTTATAGCAGTTAATTTTAAATTTTATCATTAACCCCAAATATATAATTTAGAAATTTAAAGGTTAAGCTATAAAAACTTAATAAATCAATTCTTATAACATAAATTATAAATTTTTGAAAATAACTTGGCAACTCGGCTTTTGATATAAAAAACATATAAATTTGATCTGGCCAGATTATAAGAAGCTTTAAAATATTATTTATTATAAAAATTTACTGAGCAAAATTGTATAGCCTAATAGATCAAATTTAAAGAATGATATCTATTAAATTTTGTCTTTTTATCATGCCTTTTCTTTTTTTTATTTGATGTCTACGATTCTAACTATTTACAAATCTTATTATATCTCTTGATTCTGATCATGTTCTTAGAGATAATATCTAAATATCATTATTTTTTCTACTATATTATGAAGAATTAGTGCTATATCTATAAATTTGGTAGCAAGTTTAGTATTATTAGTTCTTATTTCTTTTAAAAATTAAAATCAATTTTTTAATCTACCAAATACCTGTTCTACTACAACATGTGTCTTATTATATTTTTTGTTAAATCGAATTTATCATTAAGTAGGTAATTTAAATGATATAATACACTATTTGAAATAAGATAAGCAGAATCAGCAAGAATATAGTCAACATTTTGAAATAAATTATTTCGTTGAATATATAGTGATGAATTTGAAAAAACTTTAGTATCATGTACAGATGCTGGCTATCCAATATTATAATTAATAAATTGGCCTAAATAGTCTACAACACCTTGTACATGAATAGCATATTGTCATTTTTTATTAATATATATATCTTTGTTTGGTTTACTAGAAGCTTCAAACAAGTAAGCATGAGTACCATCAATAATGCCAATTATATCAGGAAATTTCTCTATTTGTTCAAATCCATGAATAACTTGTTTTCTGTAATCATTTTGTGGCCACACAATATATTGTATTCGTAAAGATTGAATTGCAATAATAATTCGTTCTGCATATTTAATAACCAATCCTTCTGAAATACTAAATCTTGTTGCAATATCCCAGATAGTAGATTTTTTACCTAACAAAAATAAAACAACAGAAAATTGTAATTCAATTAGCCTTTAATGACTATTAAAAACTAAATTATTCTTAATTATATCTATAATTTTCCAAAAAGTTAGCTTATTTATTCGTAATACTATTCGAAATCTCTTTTCATCATATTTAAAGAAAATATTTTGATACCAAAAATTAGACTTGGGTATAGTATCAGTATAAGAAATAGATAATCTATTATGTAAATATCTTTGAATAATATCATTTATAATTTGTTCATCTTCTATATTATCATTCAAATTATTAGAATCAGTTTTACTACTTGATTCTGTTGAATTTCTACTTGATTCTGTTGAATCTCTACTTGATTCTATTGAATCTCTACTTGATTCTGTTGAATCACTACTTGATTCTGTTAAATCTTAATTGAGATAGAAAATGATTGTTTATAGTGATAAAATGGTTTACTTGTTAAATAAAAGGTTGAAAATAAAAATATATCAAATTTTGTATTATAATAAAAAATCTATTAAAATCAATATTTAGAAATAATTATTTCCAAATTTAATGTAAAATAAACAAATCCATAATATATAAAGTAATAGAAAGTATAATTAGAGATTAGAATCGAGCATTAATTGGTTACAAACTCTAGGTTTTTGAGTATTAGTAAAAAACTTTTGACTGATGTTTAAATATTCATTAAGTTTTTAAAAAATACATAAAAGAATTTAGTATAAAATAAATTTATCAATTGTACTATTATCTATACATTACTTAATTACAATTTACATAACTTATAATTTGTGATATTACAAAAACTATTCTCACTACATATAATTTATATGATTTATAATTTGCATATTATAAAAGCAATCTATACTATTACTGCTATATTATTTAATATATATTTACATGACTTATAATTATAATTTATATTATAAAAACTATCATGCATTAATCCTAGACATCAGGAATATAAAATCATTTGTTTTATATTACGCTTTAGAAACACCACTTTGTTTAATAACTTTGCTTTTAATATATTGTTTTTGCACTTATAATATTTTCTGCATCTGAAAACAAGTACTTACTTGGTGTACTTGTTACAGGAATTGCAAGAAATTTTTGGCTATTTACTTAAAACCAGAACTTGCTTTTTTTTAAAGACCACCACACTATAAGATCTCTCTCAAAATCAAGCTCAGGAAAAGCAAGATAATTTTTAGCTTTGTTATTATCTTGGTTTTGTGAGCTTGATCAAAAAAACTGATTTAATAAACTCTTTACAGTAAGTTTGCTTTTCATTTCAATTAGTACAGAAACTAAATTGGATGTAATTTATTTAGATCTTTTGCATTTTGAGTCTAATTGAGTTTTTTAATATCAATTTGAAAAAATTTATTAAATAAAATTTATAAATTGTTATTTATTAATCAATCAAATCTTATTATTATCAAAACTTATAGTTAAATTTTAATTTAACTGTGCTCGAAAATTGACTAAATTTAAAACTCAATGAATGAAGTTTATTTCGATGTTCAAAATTTTCAATTGATATTCAAATAATTATTCACTAACTTTACTCTACTCTCTATTCATATACTTTTTTACTTATCTACAAAACATGTAATATTAGTTGCAATTTCTTTTATTTAGTTTAATATAAAATATATTATAATTGATCTGAGTTACTTTTCAATCAGTAGAAATTAAAAAATAACAGTCATCAATTCATAATCAACAAATTACAAAAATAATATATTACATATATATCTAATTATTTTCTTTAATTTCACTATCTATTTTATATTTGTATTTGAATTAAAGTTCCGCTATTTGTAATTGATGATTTATTTCTATTTGCTTAATCATTCTTTCATTTTCTATCTTTAATTTTTCACGCTCTAAGTCTATTCTACTTTGTCTTTCTACAACTTTTTTATCAAACTCTTTATTAAATTTTTTACACTCAAAATTGATTCGTATAAATGCAGCTGAAGTTTTCTGTTTGGCCTTTCTTTTCTCATATTTAATAATTTTTTTTTGCTTCTTTTAAGTAATTTAATTCATTTAGAAAAAGTTGATCTATATCACTTATTTTTTTTTTTTTCTTGTCTTTATTATTATTATTACTGGCTGTAAGCTACAAAATAATAATTTAAATTAATATAGTTTTTTCTGACTAAATTTTTAATTGCTTACTAATCAATTATAAAATTTGTTGTTAAACATTTTAAAAAAATTGTCAGTGATATATATATAAGTCACTTAGACTATATTTTTATATAAATATAAAATTAATAGCCTGAATACAAAAATATAGTCTAAGTAGCTTGTATATCACATCACCAACAATTTTTTTTATATACTGAAAATGTGTACAAGGTTGGCAGCGCAGACAATATTCTTAAAATTTGGTAAGGTTAGAATTAGGATCAGAGTTAAGATCATACGAGGAGTATTTTATATAGTAAAATTATCCAACGAAACTTTTGTCAGAATATAAAGGTGATTTCTTATACTAATTTTTGAGCTTGAGCGATTTTTGGCAAATGAATATTTGCTTTAATCTTCCTGATCATATTATATAACACCTAATCTTAAATCTGATTCATAGTTCAGAAAAGCTATACCGCTAACCTTGTATACATTTTCGATATATATTTTTTTTAACATGACTAATTTGCCTATAAAATATTTAATAAAAGGACTAATAGACAGGATATTTGATAACACTAAATCTGGATATACAAATATGATAATCAACATACCTTATCTTTTTCATCTGAAGATAAAGACCAAATTAAATAATCTTGATTGATATTTTCTCTACTACCAAATAAATGATATATTTTTTCTAAATATAGCTATTTAGATGTTGCTTTACCAGTAACTTCTTTTTTTTCATTAGAATATCTTGTCTTAAGATTTTGTAACTTAGTTTTTATCTGTCTTTCAGTTTTATGTTTTCTCAACTTAATAGCAGCAGTTGCACAAAACTTGGTTTTATTAGTTTTATATAATTCTCAGTTTATAGCCAATATATCAAGAAGTTTATTAATATCAGAGTGTGACTAAAGAGTACTGTTATTAGAATCTTTAAGCTCATTTTCATCAACCATTTCATCAATCATTTTATCAACCATTTCATTAACCATTTCATCAACTATTTCAACAACCATTTCTTTAACCATTTCATTAATTATTTCATCAACTATTTCATTATTACTTGGCACATCAATTGTTTTCTTAGTTGACTCTTTAACTATTTTTTCTGTAATTTCTTCATTAGATATGTATATAGAATTTGGTTGATAGTTTATATTATTATGATTATTTTGCACAGGTGGTATATAATATTCCAAATTATTATTTCTTAAAGGTGGATTAAATGGAGAAAGATATAAAGAATTATTTAGTAGTATTTGATAAGGTTAGTAATTATATGGATGGTAGTTTATAAATTGATTAGAACTGTTTGAATTTTTATTACTCATTTTTAAAGTTATATATAAAAATTATATAAATATATATATACTATCTTCTATTTTATATATTTATAATAAAAACTTGGCATCAATGATATTATCAATAATGTGCATCCAGTAATCATTTTAATAATGAGGTATAAAATTTTTATTCATTTTATATTATAATCATTTGCAAATAGAAACTATTAGTTTACTAACAAATTCTTTAGTTTTATTTATATAAGACATTTTGTAATTATATATTTTTATATTACAGTTATTCAATCTATATTATGCTATATAAATTAATCATTTTTAAATATGAAATATTGATGTTAGTCATCTCAATATCCTTAAAATTAGGCAGCAAATTTTTAAAATTCTATATTTAAGACTACTAGCACTGATTCAAGAACTCTATCTCAAATTAATAAGATATTGTATAGAAAGGGTTCCTTTTGTGACCAAATAATATTTCAAATTAAATTGTTGATAACTAATTGATTGACTTTAACAAATGTACTATTAATTAATTGACCAATTAATCAATTAATTAACTAGCTAATCGATTAACTATACTAATATACTTCAAGAATCTATTAATCAACTAATTAGTTATTCAGTTAGAGAAGTGTCAGAAATCAGCTGATTTTCTAGGAGGGGTCAAAAAAATTAAAATTATATATAAAAAGTATATGAAGATCTGACTAAAATTAAGAAGGTAGTCAATTTTTGCCAAAATTAAATCAGCTAATTTATGGCACTGCCCTTAGTTGAATATATTCGATTTTTTAATTAAATTTAAAAAACAAAACCAACTGATCGATTGCCAATTTGGAATACTATGACCAAGTCACTTTTGACTTTTTTTATAGTTATAAAAGGTTAATTACTTTCTGTACACAACTAGGGCAGCCGGTTCTATGGATCATGTAAGTAGCACCATCTGCAGCAATTGTTGCAAACGAATCAGTATTGAATTTATAGTGCTATTGCTATGAAATTTTTGATTCTGTTTGCATATTGTGTATATTGAATATTAGTAACTACCTAGTCATATTACTTTTTGATTAATTACCAACAAATTTATCAAAAATTTTATTTATTAGCTATATCAGCCTTACTATTTTCGGTTATTCCAAATTAATCTTGTTACATAAATCTATTCTAAATTAATTCTGTCGCATAATATATTTTTTATTTTACTTCTAATTTAGTACATATGCATAATTAATATAATATGATTACAATACAAAATTTGCATCTTCAAATATACTAGTAAATTCACTTTGAAAAGGCCCCACATATACCAAAATAGTCAGTATTATTTACTTTTCAAATTGGTATAACAGGATAACAAATATATCAAACATATACTTCAAATACAACAATCTGATAAATGAGTACTGACCCCTTATATTCTATAATTAAAAAAGTATTTTTTCACTAATTTTAAGCTTTCATATACTATTTAGATAAATTTAAAGTAGAAACTAGTTTATTTAGTAGTATGTAATTTTTATAAGACTTTCATAGGCTTATAATAGTAATTATTAGAATAGACAAATTTCTTTTTTGTTTTTTTTGATATCTTTTTACCTTTTTTCTTTCTTGTTTATATTTTTTTATCGTATCTTCTTTTATCTTTGTTTTCTTTTTTTTCTGTATTTGTGCTTAAGAAATTTTTCAGCTTGAAAAAGTGCAGTTTTAGAATAGTATTTAGTAATAGATGATATAAATAGAAGATTGTTTTTTGTAGATCTTTGATAAGATCGAAGTAGGTGATAATTTGAGCAAGAAAGTCAAATTTAACAGGATTACTAATTACTAATATCATTGCCTTTTTTTGGTTTTATCACTTATTTTGTAATTATAAGCTAGTATAGTATAAGATATTTGTAAAAGTAAGTACTATGTTATTTTTTACTAAATATTACTTGATTTAGTTTACAGACTATTTCTTTAGCTTTAATTGCAAGCTTGTCAAGTATAGGAATAGATATTAGTACTTTAAAGGAAACTTTATATAGGGCATTAATATTAAAATAGTAGCATCAATTATTGGTTTGACCCATTCTGGTTCTTCTTCAGATAGTGATTTGGGAAAGGTTTCATAAGAGTATTTAAGTATATCTCTAAGCAGGTGATTTTTGTCATATAAGTTAAAGTTGTTAGAATTGCGATATTTACATTTTTTATCTTTGCATTAAAGAGTATGAAAGTTAGTGAATTTAGTAGTATAAAATTTTTTGTCTCTTGCATCAGAAGGTTCAGGAGTTAAAGTAAAGAGAAATAAGGTCAGTTAAGTATGATATAAATTGTCTGCATATATAAGCTTGTATATTAAAAAGAGTTTTTTTTTTATCTAGAGGTTAGCAAATTGTTTACAGTAGATAGAGTACTGTTTGTCAAACCATTTGTTTAGATTCTCTTTGGAGTTAAAAAAAGATAGAATATAATATTGTTTAAGAAAAAGAGTTTTGGGTAAATTAAATAATACCAATGTATTGTATCTAGAATTAGATTTTATTGTAAGATTAGGTTCTTCTAGATTAACAGATTTGATCTCAGTTATAATATGAAATTTTTTTGGTATGAAGTTGAAATCTTTTGCTAGCTTGATATGGTTAATAGTTTGATACTGCTTAGTAAAATATAAGTGTAGATATGTTATGTGATATTAAGACAAACTTGAAATCTTTGTTTTTGGATATATAGAGAGAAGATAAGAAATGATTCAATAATTTTGACATAGTTTAGTTTGGTAAATAGGGTAGTTGTAAATTTAAGTAACAAACTTCAGAATGTAGTTTCAAGATATTTTAAAGTGAATAGGTGCTTTTAGATTAATATCTGAATTGGCTTTGTAGATAATATTAATAAAGAATTAAGGTTTTTTAGCTGCTATAATACGGATGATATAGGGTAAGTTAGTAGAAAAAGAACAAATTTTTTCTAAGTAAAAGTTTTTTTGACTTTAAGCTTAAATATTTTAACAACTATTTTATTAAATTTAATGTTTTTTTTTATTTTAATTCTATATAATTTCAAGATTAAAATAAAAAATTTTTAGTAAATTTGATTAAATAATTGTTAAGATATTTTAATTTAAAAATTAAAAAAATTTTATTAAAAATAATTTGTTTCTTTTTTATTAACCCACTCCATATATTGAAATGATACTTTAAGTAGAGATCTAGTTTTTGTAGTAGGCTTGATTTCTTTTCTTGAGTAGAAGTTATACAAATATTTTTTAATAAAGAGAAAAATTTGTCTGAGTAGTTGGTTAAGTTTTGTTTGTTGTTTTATTTCTTTATTAATAGAAAATTGGGTAAGCCAATCTAATCCTACAGAGAATTTGATACTTGTCTTTTTTTCTCTTGTTGTCTTAGTTTGTTAAATTCTTTTTGTATTTTGATTCTTCTTCTTGTAATTGTTTGTATGTGTTTGATGAAATATATTGAATAATTTTAAATAAATCAATTGTAGTTTGATTATCTATATATTTATCTGTTTTCATTTTTATAGTTTGTTGTTGTTTGTGCAGCTTAGATTGTTGTTGTTATTGCTTATAGAATTGCTCTTGGTATAGTTATTGTTCTTCTGTTTTTGCTCATTTTTTTCTTTTTTGTTTATTTGTTGAAGACATTTCAAGTGATATACATTATTGCTAAAGAAAAAGCAGCCTTCTAGAAGTTGATAGTAGTTGTTAATAGATTTATAATTAATCACGATCCAGTATTTGGGGCATGTGTAAGTATGGGTTTTAAAAGCAGAAGAAGTTGGGATAGTTGCTAATATTGAAACAATAGCTTTACTTATTTGTTCTGTATTATATTTTTTGTTTTTCTTACCAACAATAGGGCTAGAAATATAGAGATGTAGGTAACACTAGTTGGAAAGTAAAATTGTGTGTAGAAATTGCTGCAAAGGCACTTGATGATTGATGTTGAGTGTGGTGCTTTGAAGAAGTGAGTTTTTTTAACTTGTCTAGTATTTACTATAATATAGCTTAATAGTCCAAATTGAGGAGGAATCATTCTGATGTTGTTTGGTTTATCTTTGTAAATAGTAACTCTAAAAATATTTGCATAATTTTCATAAAAGACATTGAGATCAAGTACATCAGGATCTTGATTATAGCAGTTTGCAAAAAGATGTGATCTCTGCAGATCATTATGTCATATGAAATTACGAGAAATCAGCCAATTCTAGTTGATTTTTTGATTCTTAGAGAATCCTAAAGATTTTTGATATATTATGAACGTACAATATGTAGTGGTATTGATATGATCGTAATTTCAATAATACAATAAACATATGTTAGCTATATTAGATAATTTATCAAAACATAATAAATTACGTAATGTACAGTGAAAATTTAATTGAAAATAATAAATTACATAGTATACAATGAAAACAAATATTCGCTTTCAGGCTTTCCTTCTGTATCACTTATATAATCATTATATTTATATTTTAATTCAAAAAAATCTTCGTTAACATGCCTCCTGCATATAGTGATGACTTGAAATAGCGTATAATTTTTTTATATTATGATAATTATTCAATATCGCAAATTACAAATCTTCTTTATATTAGTAAAAGTTTGGTAAAGAAAGTGTTACGGTTATATAAAAAATGGGGAACTGTAGCAAATCTATAGAAACAAGTATCTGGACAGCATAAAACTTTTAATCGAAATGATATGAATATAGGTGTAAAATATTTGTTATATATATAGTATTAATTAATTTATACTATATATTATATAATAGATATTATGAAATATTGTCCAAGAAAATCCAGATATGTATCTTGATGAAATTGTTGAACAAATGGAAATTCGATGTGGCAAAAATGTCTCAATTTCTACTATTTGGCGTTCATTAGCTTATTGTGGAATAACACGAAAAAAAGTATTTATTTTATATAATTATATAAATTAATATAAATAAAATATAATTTTTATTTAATTTTTATTTCAGTTATATAAAGCAGCAAAAAAACGCAATGAATTACTTCGCAGTGCCTTTATGACCTGTATTGGTTCTCAATATAAAAATAACCAATTAATTTTTCTGAATGAATCATTTAAAGATGAATGAACTATTTCTCGAGGATATGGTTATTCTGAAATTAATACAAGGGCTATCAAAAAAAAGTAGTATTTCTACGTGGTAAGTGTTATATACTTTTGCTTGCATTAACCTTAGATAGTATAATTGCTGTTGATATTATAGAGGGTAGTTGCACAAAAGAGCGATTTAAAGAATTTGTAATTTCTCAAGTAGTACATATTGAAATATATATATAAAATATATTATAATATTTGTATACAGTATATATATATATATTTTTTTTTTAAACAATTTTTTTAATTATTTTTAGCTGCCTCAAATGAATTCATTTCCACATAAACAAAGTGTTTTAGTACTTGATAATGCAAGAATCTATCATAATAATGAATTGCTTGAATATTTAAATGCATTTGGGGTATATATAGAGTTTCTTCCTCCTTATTCGCCTGATCTCAACCTGATAGAATTAGCTTTTTCATGTATAAAAAATTATTTAAGACGACATCAGTATTTTGTAGAAAGCTGTTTAGATCCTATATATCTATTATTAGTTGCATACTCTCAAATTACCTCCTCATACTCTAATAATTTCTTTAATACAGCGGGTTATAAATAAATATTCATTTAATTTACAATTTGCTATGATAATGCATTATACTTTGCAGCATATTTACGAAGAGTTTGGCGTGCACTAATAGTATCTACTCCATATTTTTCAAAGTCTTCATTTGATAATTCAAAAAGTAGTCATATAGAAATTTTTTGTTGTTTAAATTTTAATAAAAATTTCTGATAATAATCTTTAGTATCTTCATTTTCATCTATATTTCTTAAAAAATTTTTGATTGTAGGTAATGTTTGTTGTAAAGGTAATTAAATTGGCATTTAAAAAGGTGTTCTGTAAGTTTGTAAAGGAATATATGTTGAAAATGGATTATAAAATAAAAATGGCATATAATGTTGACCCGAAAAGAGTGAAGGTTGAATAAAATTAGATTGTTGCATTAAGTTAGCTTGTTGCATTAGATTAGCTTGTTGCATTATAGATTGTTGTATCGAATTAAGTTGTTGCATCAAATTGAATTGTTGCATTAGATTGGGTTGTTGTATCGAATTAGGTTGTTGCATCATATCAGATTGTTGTATTGAATTGAGTTGTTGTATCGAATTAGACTGTTGCATCAAATCGGATTGTTGCATTAGATTGG